GGGGGGGGATTCTCACAATGCTGCAAGATAAGAATTACCCCTGTTTTGGGGAGATTCCTAGGAGTGGAGTTGCTGGATCATATGGGAGCTCCATTTTTAATGGTTTAAGGAACCTCCACAGCAAACTGACTGGACCAGTTTGCATTCTTACCAGCATTGTAAGGGAGTTCCTTTTTCTCCACATCCTCGCCAACATTTGCTGTTACTAGTATTTTTTTTTAAATATGTGCCATTCTCACCAGCGTAAGATGGTATCTCCTTGTGGCTTTCATTTGCATTTCTCTGATAACAAGTGACAGTGAACATTTTTTCATTTGCCTGTTGGTCATTTGCATTTCTTCTTTAGAAAAGTTTTTAGCTCTTCTACCCATTTTTTGACTTGGTCATTTACTTGGTTTTTGTTGAGCTTTGTTAGCTCTCTGTAGATCTTTGTAATCAGACCCTTATTGTTAGAATTGTATGCAAAAATTTTCTCCCAATCTTTGTGTGTTTCTTTCTTTTGGCTGATGTCTCTTTTGCTGTACAAAAGCGCTTTAATTTGATGTAGTCCCAGCAGTTTATCTTTTCCTTCTTTTTCTTTGCTTTAGGTGATGTGTCTTTGAAGATGTTACTAATACATATGACATGTAGTGTTTTGCCTAGGGTCTATCCAAAGGACACAAAAATATTAATTCAAAAGGATACCTGCACCCCTATGATTATTGCAGCACAATTTACAACAGGTAAGCTATGGAAGCCACTCAAATGCCCCAAAATAGATAACTGGATCTAGAAGATGTGGTATATTTACACAATGGAATACTACTCGGCACTCAAAAAGGATAAACTCATGCCCTTCACAGCAACATGGATGATGCTGGAAGGGATTATGCCCATTGACATAAGCTAGAAAGAAAAATATCAAATGGTCTCATTTATAGGAGGAATATAAAGAAAAAAAATAAGGAATCAGGAGAAAAAGTAACTATAATAAGTAAAAATCAAAATCATCAGACAACTATAGCTCAGAGACATTCTGTAGCGGAAGAGGCGGGAGAAGGATCAGGACAGGGGTGGGAAGAGCACAAGGATCTATGGTGATGGCGCTCGGGTGAGTTGGTGGTGGGAATTTCACAGGGAAATCATACATTGTACAAAAATGAAGGGTGATGTAATGAATATATTTAAATAATTAAAAAAAAGAATTACCCCTGTTTTGCAGAGGACAAAACTGCCCAGCTATGGATTGTGATTCAGTTTCACTCCAGGAAGAGGTACTTCCTATTCACAAATACATGGTTTGAGCATTCTATTGGTTATGTAATCTTTGAACTAGTCATTCCATAGCCTGATGCCATGGAATAATAAATAGAAATAAAGAGCAGTGGCTGCCATTTACTATGCTTTTACTCTACACTAGATTGGACATGGATATTCTTTTTTATTTATTTATTTTTTTTAAAGATGTATTTATTTATTCATACAGAACTGGGGTACAGGCAGGGGTGCGGAGGGTGAGAGGATTCACCCGGTACAGAGCGGGGAGCAGAACAGGCAGATCGACGAATTACACCGCTGAGGGGAGCAGCGGGCGGGTCAGGAGAGGTCTGCCGCGCCATGTGGTCACCTCCGGGGCAGGCGGGGATCGAACTCATGCTGAAGTGGCTTTAGCTTCTCAGTGCTGTGCTTTAACCCGCTGCGCCACCAGGGAGGGCCCTCTTTTTTATTTTTAAAGATTTATTTATTCATACAGAACTGGGGTACAGGCCAGAGATGCAGAGGGTGAGAGGATTCACCAGAGACAGAGTGGGGAGCAGAACAGGCTGACTGACGAAGTACACTGCTGAGCGGAGCAGTGGGTGGGGCAGGAGAGGTCTGCCACTCCATGTGGTCACCTCCGGGGCGGGCAGGCGGCAATCGAGCTCATGCGGAAGTGGCTTAAGCTTCTTAGTGCAGTGCTTTAACCCGCTGCGCCACCAGGGAGGGCCGGTTATTATTTTTATTTTGTTTTACAGATGAAAAAACAGGCTTGAGAATGATTAAATGCGTGCCCAATATCACTTAGATTGTAAGTGGTGGAATCAGGTTCCATTCCCCACCTCGTTGCTAAAACAGTTCATATGTAATTTTATTTTTTGCACTTATTATTTTGCTGCACAATTTCAAGATTAAAAGTTGACTAGGCCCTCCCTGGTGGCTCAGCGCTATGAAACTATCCACAGCAACTACAGAACAAACTGGATCCCCAGCCAGGGAGCTGACCCACATGACGTGGCAGACTTCTACTGTCTTGCCCACTGCTCCCCAAGGCTGTATATTTCAGTCAATCCACCTGTACTGCTCCCCACTCTGTCCTGGTGAATCCGCTCACCAGGATTCTAATCCATACCTCTGTTCTTAGATGTTTAAATAAATATATATCCTTTTAAAAAATTAAATAAAAAAGTAAAAATTTAAAAACGAAATAAAAAATTGACTTTAATGTCTGAATTGGAGGTGAGGATTAAGGCCTCTTTATTTGCTGTTTTTTTCTTTTTAAAGATTTGTTTATTTCTGCAGACAAAACTGGAGTATAGGCCAGGGGTGCAGGGGCCATGAGAGGATTCACCAGAAACAGAGTGGGGAGCAGGACAAGCAGATCGACAAAGTACACTGCTGAGGGGAGCAGTGGGCAAGACAGGAGAGGTCTGCTGCGCCATGTGGGGCACCTCTGGGGTGGAGGATTGAACTCACCCTGAAGTGGCTGTGGCTGGCTTGCAGTGCTGAGTCCTAACCGGTTGAGCCACCACGGAGGGCCCAAGACCTCTTTATTTGTATCCTCACTGCTTAGCACTAGGCCTCGTTTGCATGTCTTTAATGAACAGTAAGGATCCATGTTTCCAGAGCTGTGAGAGACTGAGTCACTTTCACCAGAGGACTGAACAAAGCCCCGTGGCTATTTTCCTTCCATCAGTAAGAATCTCCGTAGAAGACCTGGTTGTCTAGGTGATTGATTATTCATTTAGGTAAATATGGTTCCAGGATCTATATGATTGTTTTCTACTTTTTCCTCCTCTTTTAGTTTTCTTTCTCCCCAAGAAACCTACTAGGGAAGACAATAATGTCCTTACATTCATTTTTGTGTGTGTAAATTCCGTGCGTCATCTTTCCAACCTGCTCAGCTCCTTGATTATGTACCTGCACACCCCCTCCTTTCTTAGTTTCTTCCTTTGCGCGCAGCACAGACTTGATGTCTGCCAGTCGCCCATTCCAGCCACCCAGCCATGCTGGCAAGGCCCAAGCAGTGGGTGCAGTTTACAGCTGGTTCCAGGAGGTAGAAGGAGAGCATGTGTTTCCTCATTCTTTTCAAGTTTGTGCCAGTTTGGGCAGGAAGCTCAAATGACTCAAAGCAGTTTGTAAAGAATGGTAATCATTAAAGTCTCCAGGTTGAGAACTTACTTAGTGTTTTTTCTCCCTTTTATTTTTTAATATTTATTTATTTATACATACAAGAACTGGGGTACAGGCCAGAGGTGCAGGGGGTGAGAGGATCAGCAGAGACGGATTGGGGAGTAGAACAGGCAGCTTGACTGAAATAAGGGGAGTAGCTGGTGGGCCAGGAGAGGTCTGCCAGGCCATGTGGGTCCCCTCCCTGGCCAAGGGTCAAACTCATGCTATAGCAGCTGCAGATAGCTTCATAGTGCTGTGCTTTAACCTGTCACACCAGTTGGGAGGACCTATTTTCTCCTTTTTATTTAAGTTGAAAAAATGCTTGAAGTTATCAGTCTTTCTTCCATTCTTTAAATTAATGGCCCCATCTTGTATGTATTTTAAAAATCACTGTTCACAACAGGTCCTCTAGTTCTCAAGAGGAGAAAATGCACACTTTTCTTGAAAGGTCAGTTTTTCCTCAAGTATTTGTGGTTTTCCCTTGGCATTGTTCCCATGTGGTAGTTTTCATGTTTTCCTTATAGTCAACCATCACATCATACTTCCCACCATACATGTGGTTTAGAAGTTACACATCTCCAGTAAATGCAGAAAACCATTGGTTTTTCGCCCAAACCCCCACCCTCCAAGAGGCCTGTGGAGTGCACCCACTGATGTGCTTAGAACGTCTGGCCAATAGAGAGGCGACCTTTGGGGCAGAACTGCACTGTCAGGACATTTTTCTCATCTCTAGACTGAGCTTTCTATGACTTATTGGACTTGGGCCCAGTTAGACCTTAGAGCTTAAAAACTCCAGTCACACCCCTCTGGTCACACCACAGCCATGTTGGGACACCAGAGAGTATTAGGGAAACCACAGAGTCTTGTCTGACTCTTTGAGAAGTCAAAGACAAATCAAAGTGAATTCTTCCTCTTTTACCAAGCTTGTAAAATCCCAGGATATTGAATTCACATCTAAGCTAAGCAAAATTCTTTACCTAAATCCAGAAATCCAATCAAGTGACCAAATGGGGTG